TGAGGCGGGGAGCCTGCTGTTTTCATACTATTGTCTTACTGGAGAATTACCCTCGCCGCGGGCAAAACTGTACAACTTGCAATTCAAACTTGTTGTATGTTGAAGAACATAAATCGCTATAGAAAAAACATTTCATTCTTGTTTTTTTAAGGATGGCAGATTTAGACAAAGACACTAAATCTCTTGATTGGAGTTTGATTCATCAGTCAGCCATTTAGAGAAAGCAGCGACCATAAAAGCGGACTCACTCGCCACAATAAACGCCGACCGGGGTGTGGATATCTTCTCCTATTATTGATCCCTCAACCTCAGGTCCTAGGAGCTACCCGGATAAACACCGACATCGCACCCTTTGTTGGAAAACTAAACTAACTCAAGGATACAAAATAGCTGCCCAAGACACACGACGCCCAGTCTGGGGTCCGCGTTTTTTTCAGTGCCATTTTTATTGGGCGCCCAAAAATAAAAATTGGGGGGCTGGGGGGGGTGACCCATCCCCCCTCCCCATCCGCATCCCCCGGGGGGGGGGGGGGGGGGGGGGTCCATCCACTCACCCTCTGGTCCTCGTAGGCGTCTTTGAGCCGAAGGTAGTTGGTGAGGGCTCGCATGGCGATGGGCAGCTTGCCGATCTTCTTCAGCTCGATGGGCCTCTTGTGGGCTCCGATGATGAGAGGATTCATCCACCAATACGTGGACTAGAAAGATGCAATCCATCATTTACTGATTCTCAAGTGACTTCTGATATTCATTATGAGACCTAAACAAGAACAAAGACTTTCTAACTGGATACTTGTGGCCTCGTTGTCTGACAGTCCTGATCTTCTATATCAATAACTCTTATTTATATCATATTTTGGATAATCGCAGGGATCCAATCCAGCCCACCTTGGACAGCAGGTTGACAAACGGCTGCAGGAAACGAACCCCCAGATCCTGCAAGTCTTCTGGAGGCTTCACCTTTTGGGGCTTGGCAAAGAACACGTATTTCTACGGAGAGAGAAAGGGATGAAAATAGAATGAAAATAGCAGAATGAATATTTTAGGAGAGGTCAAACAAATGACAAAAAAGTTCAATCCAAACGTGTTTTGTTCCGTTTGTTCAGTTGGAGGAGTTGCAGCGACTCACCCTGACTCTTATGACGTTGACCTCCACGGCCATCAGAAGTCCGTACAGCACCACCAGCAGGGCCGTGATGCAGAACCTCAGGTGCTGCGGGCCGACTTGGTGCTCTGCAAACTTCCACAGCTTAATGGACTTGGTGATGAAGGCCAACACCCAGTAGATGAACAGGACTGTGCGGACACAGAAACGTGGCACAGCGTCGTACATTGATGCAGGGCTTCACTTATCGTGGTGGGAGATGATTTGCATTAAAGAATAAATATTTCACGAGTCCAATCGAAGCTCCGGAGGAAGCTGCATGGAATCCAACATCGTGCGCAGGTTGGACTCTGATAAAAACAGGATAATCGGAGCGAGTAAGTCTCACCCAGCAGCAGTTTGGGGAAGTTGGACGTCTCTATGTTGTGGTAGTAAACCACCGACGTCGTGGCTGCTACGAAGCCCATGAATGCCGGCATGAAGAGGTGGAGGTGGTTGGTCAACATCTCCCTGCGGCGTGAACCAAACACACGATAAGATCGCCGTGTCCAAAATGCGACAACGGACATTTAGATGAAAGAACTGGGTCCCACTTGTTGGAGACGATGCCCTCCGCGAACTCGCAGACGTGGACGAACAGCAGCGAGAAGGTGAGAATCCATCGCATGTTGTGTCCGGGGAAGTGGAGCCACGTGTTGTGGTGGATCTGGACCTTGGAGCTCTGACTGCCCCAACCTGACGGGACGGGCGAGAGAGACAGACGGGGGAAGAGACAAGACGGAAAAGGAGACAAGCGGTAGGCAGCTGATACCCGACTTAAAGGATGAGATGTTGTCAGAAGCTGTAGAATCTAAAGCCAAAGCCCGGATGCTTCAGGGATCTGGAGGTCAAACACTGATCGAGTCCCTGAAGGTTCTGGTTAGTTTAACTATGGGACCTTGGTACCGCAGGATTGTATTGGAGGTCTGTTTCTGCTCATGGGACAGAGACCATAAAAAACCAGAAGCAGGAAGCATGATTAGTCCTCCGGGAGCAGACTGAAGGCTTCTAGAAGTGTTCACACAGAACATAGATGCTACACTCTCCCTCCGGAGGAGCGGCTTGTTTGCCGCTTTACTACACTGGGTTGCACAGTGGAGTATGTATCCTCTCTTCTTTCCTTCACTCCTCTCCTTACTCTCACATCCCTCCTTCCTTGCCACCTCTTCCTCCTTTGCATTAGTTTTCTTCTGAACACAATCTGTTTCCTGCTAATCGTTTCACTAGAAACTGTAGAACAGGCGTGGCGTCCACTTATTTCATATTGAGCGTCCCAACCATTCGATTAGCAGGGAACGTTCTTATTTCCGAGTCATATTCTGGATTATTGCACAACGAAGCTGAAGACGTCCAACACAGATCTTCCGTTTGCATCCAGCTGGTCTGTCGTTGCCCTTTTTTGTTTACGGACTGTTTCAGGACTTTCTGCAGCAGCGGTTCTGAACCCCTGGATCACCAAACTGACCGACCCCAACACGTCTCTGCGGAGACAAGGCGGTGGCCTCTGGTCTAAGTGGGCGGATCCAGTCAGTAAGTCGACGCCCACACGTGCACTTAAGCGAAGGAGCCAAAGGGCTTTCGACTCAGAGCGATGCAAGGTGAGGCGCGTTTAAGACCACTTTACTGATAATTCCACCCCTTCTCCATCCATAAAGCTGCTTGCTACGCATGGGGGGGTGAGCACTCCATCAGAGCGCTAACGTGCATTAAGAAGATTGTTCCACCGTGACGAGTTCTCATTAACGCACTGAGAGTCAAACACTCTGAATGCTGCAGAGACTCCTGGAACCTTCCCAACCGAGAAGAACGTTCACGTCTGCGACCTCGCTGGTTATTGTTTGATTTGCATGGTTCAACATTTGGGGCTTCAGGGTATGTTTTGTGTTTGCACATACAAACGGTATGCGCGTCTGTCTCCACAACCTACCAATGAAGAGGATGGGGAAGGTGATGAAGAGCAGGAAGACGTGGGGGACCAGGTTGAGGGCGTCCACGAAGCAGCCATTGTTGAGCACGCCCTCCTCCACGCTGTAGGAGTTGATGCTTCGGTCGTTGATGCTTCGGTCGTTGCCGCAAAACGACAAGGCCATGCCCCCGACCGGCCGCTGCACCCGAGCCTGGGGTCGACCTGGGGGGGGGAAACACCAACACAACGACACAATGAGTGAACACAGCATGGCGTGTTACGTAATCTCATGCCTTGCAATCGTCTTCAGGCAGTCGGCCGTCGGCTTGAGCTTTGCGGACGAGGTCAGACATCTTCGAGCGCGCACACACAGGCAAACTCAGACCCACACACACCGAAACACAATTGCAGGCCCAAAGTCCGGCGCGAGAGCTATTTCAGTGGCCATGCACGGCTAATTGGTGCATGTAGCATAACGGTTACGTGGTGCATGTAGAGAATTCATTCTAAAATTAAGACATCTAGGAACGTTATTTTTCAATGGGCTTTATTTGTTGTCACAGTCAAACAATATCTTGGATTTATCCACTAACAGTTTGTCTCAATTCCAAAAACAAAACAAAGATGGCTGCACCTTGTTGCCATCTGAGTTTAAGACATCTTGATGTTAATTGTGAAGAATTGTTTCACGGTTTCGGACACACAGACTTTTAATGGGGAAATAGATAAAGGCTGCAGAGATATTTCTATTAAAGCTGTGATACTTTTTGTCAAAGTTTAAAATGGTACGATTGGAATCCGTTCATAAATGATTTAGATTATATAAATATGCTGTTCTCCAAAATGAGTAAACACAACGTTTCAAAAATATCAATTTCTGTGCTTTGCTTCATATAAATCTACAGCTTCCACCAAAAACCAGCCTGTGTCAGACTACAATGCTGTTTAACAAACTCCACCACAATAAAATACTGAATACAGCTCCAGCTAACATTTAAAAAAATCAAGCAGTGTTTAATTCCAACGTTAAGTGTAATTGAAAGTCAAATGTCTCTTACCTCAAAGAAAAGTGATAATCCTTAATGACAACGTTTCATTCCGGATGTCTGGATTCAAAAATATAAAAGAAAGAAAGAAGACAAAAAGAGAAAAGACCGAGAATACAGTGAGAGTCGAAGTGTAAAACGTTGATTATTTTTAGCCCGCGCGCAGCATCAGCTGCTCCGCTTGTTACTGCTGCCCGGCTCTGCCAGCGGAGTCAAGTTACCCTGAATAAGACACGGGGCTTCCGGGGATTCCCTTCAAAATAAAATATATCAAATATCAACGTATAATGGTTTCTACAAATGTACTTTTCCTCACAAATTAGACACAATTTACAATACATATTAGGGATTTTTGAAATACTTTAAAAAGATGAAGAAATTATGCCCAAACAAAATAAACCCAATCGCAAACAAGAAGTGAGTTGCAGACACACAAGTTGTTTTTTAAAAACTGTATGAGCCCTTTAAGCATTGTATCGAATAAAATATATAATAAAATGAGGCATTAAAAGTCTTTTGCTCAGAAACCCTTCTACAAGGCAGTGATTCCCTTTTAAGCCATTTTGTTTATAAGTTAACAACACAATCATTAACTGATTACCATGTTAGTAAGCCGAGGGTCCAGGTACCTGAGCTGTTTATAGGGACCTCGGGTGCTTTTTATCATTGAATTTATAATTCATTAGATTGAGCTCTTTTTCGCTTTTATGATGATAAATTGGTTAATATCTCATCGCAATAAAAAAATAGCCATTTTTTATTTTGAAGGAATGGATTTTAAGGGATCCGGTACAAGTTTTCCTAAATCCAGCGAACTTAATAAAACGTTCACCTCCGATCAGATTTCCTAAGTTGAACCAGTTTAGTGGTGAGAAGCTGGTTCATTATGGGCATCGTGAACAGCCAACTGACATGTCGGTTACACACTGTTTATAAACTACATACAAGGGTCAAGCGAGTCTTTTATCATTTGCATATCTGGAATCTTAATAAAACTGATATTTTGACAATACTGAAGGGAGAATTGGTCTCAGTTTTGGGTTACACGAACAGAAAACTATTTTAGTAGTATAATCATTAAGATATCATATGACAAAATCCAAATCCAAAAACATTACTAAGTTGTGTGAAATTAGTTTTATTTTCTCTTGTTTTTAAAATGTAATTATTCCCAAGAGAAAACGCAGCATCTCAGCAACAAAATATGTTTGCACATATTTCCATTTCATATCAAAATGACGTACGTCGGACGACGCTTTACGTGGTGACGCACTACGCTGAGCGTCTTTTCGCACTTCCGGTTGGCAGCGCGTCGGTTTTCTTGATACCGTGACGTACATTTCTTCAGCTCCAACGTTTGACGGGCCGGGTTACTTTCCCGCGTATCCTCCTCCATCTGCAGCAGCTACGCACGGAAACACCTAAACAGCCACGAGTCCCTTTCCCCTCCTCCAGAGACGCGTGTTTCTGCGCCGTGCTAACCTTAGCCGCCGCGCATTAGCTCAGCAGCTAGCCTCTCTCTCTCTCTCTCTCTCTCTCTCTCTCTCCCCCCCCCCGGCGTGTCACGTGTCTTAGTCGAGGGGTCGCGGCTGACGCGGGGAGCGCGTGTGAGTTCGCTTCGCGGGGATCTGCGGGGTCCGAGGCTCGGCAGCGCCTCTGCTGTTAGCCGGCTAGCCGCCGTCCCGCCGTGGAGCAGGTGTCTCCGGCGGAACGCGTCACCGTCGCGTGGCAACGTGTGAACAACCGTTTCTCTCTGCCGGCTGCTCACATTTACGCAAAGCTAACGCGTCTCCTCTGCTCTCAGTCGTCACAGAGAACGTCGTTATATGTTTTTGGGGAACACGGAGGTTTAAATTAACGACAATCCCTGCTGTTTTCACGGTGGAGCCGTTAATGAGAGGAGGTGGAGTAGCGGCCAATTAGGACACTTCCTAAACCAGATGTGGAATGAAAACAGAGGAACGGTTGCAGTGGAAGATGTAGGATGTTAGAAACAAATTGACGACCCGGTTCATAAAATTAATAAAAATGCATAGAGTGTACACCAGAATACAGCCATGATTCTGAAACTGTGTAATCAATAAAGTAATGACAATATTGTAAAACCACTGTAATTCTGCAACTGTAATAGAATAATACCAATGCAGTTATGATTGTATTTGATGTAATGTAATCAACTGGAATGCATGCATGTAATACTTGAACAACCACTGATATTGACTAAGGATCATTCGAAATCCGAGTTACATTGAACTCACCAGAAGACCACTCCCAGAGGCGTGGACACTAACTTTCACACCTTAAAGCATTGCTATAAATACCTGTAGGAACCATTGTTCTCGGGTTCACTGGTGGAGGCGACAGACGGGCACTAGGGGGTCAAAGGACTGACCTGGGGCCTGTTGGTGACTGAGACCAGCGGCTCCTCAGCTGAGATGTTCTTTTTACCGCAACGCCATCTCCTTTATTAAACACATTTGATTTGAACCTTTAGATCAGCGATGACCTCTGTCCGTCCGGCGTTTCTTCATTTTTGAACACAACAAAGAACATGTGCGGGAGCCACGAGGAAACCCAAATCCCAAGGCACCAAGAAGTGGGTGAATGTCTATTCTTCATCCTCCCCTCCCCCCTATTCGGTCCTCCCTTCTGCTGCAACCCCCCCATCTTGCACCCCTTATTGCCCCGCCTCCATCCACCTTCCTCGCAACATCCAGCTCCGCTCCACCCTCCATGCACACTGCAGTTATTGTCCAAGGCCCTTCAGCACACAAAGCCCCCATCCCCCAACTCTACGCCCCCCCAGACAGCACCAGGTAAGCAGAGAAGCGAAGGACTCCCGACAGACCTTAAACACTGACATCGCACCCCGGAATCAGAACCAGAAGATGGTCTCCATCAGGACCGATGGAGATCCTGAGATCCATCCATCCATCCAACCCCCTTCACTCTTTACACCTCATATGAGTTATTAAGTCAGGATGGGTACGGCTCATGATTATCAAGTGCAAAGTCATAATTATGAGATAAGTCGTAGGATGGTCATTCATAAATATGGGATACTAAGTATGTGAGGGAGATATTTTTACTAATGTAAAGGCCTTCTGAGGCTGATTTGTGACTTTACAGAAAATAAATGAAATGAATGTGAATTCTTTACGGTCTGTGGTCATGATTTCCAGGAGAGAGATGAGGCCGCTCGGCCAGAACAAAGCGTACGTAACGACGCGTATCCATGTGATGTGCGGAATCCACGCAAAAGCAGCGCGATGCGCCTGTGCCGTGCGTGCGTGCGTGCGTGCATCACCACGCGCCACATCTGGTGTCTTTCAAGTATTGTGCGAAATAACCCACTTCACTCATCCCCGCGCAGAGGGTAACCAGATCTAATTCAGAAATTCAATAATTTGAATTGCTTGAACGCATAGATGCATATTGATGAGGCACACGGGGAGTGTAACGTGTTCGATCAGAGCAGTGACGTGTGTACTTACATTCGGCACAAATAAAACCAGTTTAGGAAGATGAATCTATATAAAACCTTTAACTTTTTCAACTGTCCCGCCTGTAATCCCCTCAGCCCCCTTCCGCCAAAAGTAGCCACCTCGATAAAGAGCAAACCTCGTGCTTTTATTGATAGTGGATTATATGCGTGCCGAAAGACGTGCCTTCTATCAAATCAGATATTCTGCCAACTTGCATTTGTAACGGATGTATTTAATGAAAAATGCACGGCGGCTTTAAACCGCAGCCTGTTCCAACGGAGCCCGGTGCGCGCTGCGCGTCTTGCGCCGAGGGGTGCAGCGGGCCGAGGACAGGGGACATCGTGGGAGGACAACGGGATGAAACAGCAGAGCCTTCGCCGACACTTACCCGGCCGCCGACGCAGATGTTTTGGGGGGGGGGGGCGCGCGCCGTGGGTCAAAGCGTCCGGTTCCCGGAGCTTAATTCCCGTGTGCGACGTCTTATTGCGGTGCGCTTTACGCTGAAGGCGCGACGGGACAGGAAATGCACGCACGCGACATTCACCGCGGTGTCGCGACCGCCGTCCTTTCTGCGCCGAAACGTCTCATTATGGCGCCGAGCGGACAAATGTAGGTCACATTAAAGCCGAATGAGCGGGATGGCTGAGAGGAGCCTCTTCACGGGGGAGGTTAGTTAAAGTTGCGGGAGACACGGGGGTATTATTAGAGGGGGGGTGGGGGGGGTTCACACACCTGCACAGGTCACTCAATGTGGAGGAAAATACATCTACAAGATGAAAGAAGCTCTTATTTTATATAAAATCATATAACAAGACTGTAACTAACCTCAAACCAATCGAATCTCCGGAGACGTTCGGACGCTCCACCAGCGCTGCATTTTATTTTGAAATGTGATGGATTTCTTTGGAGCACAGAACAGGAAAAGTGAAAAGGGTTTAATTTCTCCTTTTTGTTTTTTTTACTGATTCAGCGTTAAATAAGCAAACCCTCCGTAGGCAGATATCAAATAAATAAACCTGAACACCAAAAACACTGTTGGTTTGGTGGAAAGTTCACTTTTACTCCATAGTGTATTTCCGTTGAGAGGGAAATATTATACTTTCCTCAATATATAGTCGGTCATGTCCGTTTCTACACAGGTTTCCCACGGCGACATACTGTAATAATAATAGTATGTGAATGGAAACACGTGTGTGTGTAGGGGACCGTGTGAGGATTCTCATCCACCAGTGATCCCAAGGAACTGTTGAGGGAAGAAGTCGACCTTCGGCCCCGACACCCCCGTAACCAGTGATGTCCCTCAAGGCCTAACAAACACTCCCACTCAGCCCCTCGTCCTCAGCCTCTGCATGTACACACACACACACAACATCAGACAGCTGTTCACTTTCCCCTTTGACCTCCACGCCGCCGCAGGAGGAAGTGGCGCCGGTGACCCGGCGTCACAGGACGGCCCGCGGTGACGATCGGGCAGACGGGTCAGCGGAGGAGTAAATAAAAAACACAGTTTTGTGGCGCAGGTGTTCTGATTGCGTCGACGTGTGGAAACATCGGCTGCGAGTGTTTACGCGTCGTGCGTCCGTGTGTCTGGTGTGTGTGTGTGTTTGTGTGCACGCGTGTGCGTGTGATTATTCCCGGGCGACAGCGTGAGAAGCGCTCCTCCCGAGGGAAGCCTTTGACTGACCCGCAACAGGAAGTGGGGGCCGACCCCCTTTCCTACGGAACACACGCGCGTTGGTACTTGCACCCTTTTAGTCACA